AATTTTTTTAAAGTGCACACGAACTTTATGGACACCTTGTATAGTTATTTTATAAGCGTAGCTTAGATGTGGCACAAGGCCGAAAGTTTGAGACACCTAGTGAGGATTGAACTCACTTTTTTATCGTAACAGATCTAACGAGACAAGCTTGCTAACCGTTACACCACGCCGAGGTGTCCATGGACACCTTGTATATTCCTATTTACTTTATCCGGCTCTCTTTTCATATTTCTCCAGCTTTCTTACCACTCGCCTTTCATTCTTCAATTAATCTATTTCACTCTCCCCCTCTTCATCGCTTTCTCCGGTCCTTTCCCGCTTTAAATAATTATATAGATTTCTTGATAGTTTAACGAATTCGAGATCGGAAGGGCTGAGAATCGGGCAGATACTACACTCTCATCATAAATAAAAAGCGTAACAGTCACACATATAATCAGGATAATAGGATGGATATATAATAGTTTTCTGACCACTTAGATACACATTAAAATAAATCAGTCTTTCGCCTATTTGACATTATTTTAAAGAAATAAAGAAAACTATACGGAAATGAATAGTAAAAAAAAAAAAAAAAAAAAAAACTAGGAAGGAAAGAAAACATTAAAAAAAGAAAGAAAAGGAAAGCAGAGAAAGAATAAAAACATAAAAGATAACGAATAAAAAGAAAGAAAAAAATAAATTTGAAAAAAAGGAACGCATTTATGGAAAAAAAAAAAGAAAATAAAAAATGAAAAAAAACAAAAAACAAAAAACAAAAAACAAAACAAAAACGTGTAAATAAAATACAGAAAAATAAAATATAATGAGATGGAAGTGACGCCAAGTTAATTTATTTCTATTTCGGGGAGCAAATGATGTTGGTCTTTTTAGAATTTTCCCCAATGTCGCAACATTTCCGTTCGCAGTACCAGAAACTACGTGACTTTGACGTCATTAAAGAAAGAAGGAAATCTTTCCTCCGCTAAAAGACCAAAAAATTCGAATGGATTCTAAAGAAGTACATATATGTAGATACAACAATCAATTCAGAACTTAACGAAAAAAAAAAATATTTTACACAAATATTTATTTTTTTCAATATACAGTGTAACCCGGATATAAGAGAAACCCGGATATAAGAGAGATTTTCTCTGGTCCCAAATTAGAGTCTGTGTTAATGTATACATATAGACCAAACCCGGATATAAGAGAAACCTGGATATAAGAGGCTTCTTCTCCGGTCCTGACAACTCTCTTATATTCGGGTTACACTGTAATCTATTTTCTTGTCAATGCACTTAATACTATGATGAATACTAAAAATTCTTTTATTCATGGTAATTGTTCTGATGAACTTTCCTCTATGATACCTAGACTTTACGAATTTGACGTCAGTCCTAGATTGGCAGCAAAGTCTCATTATTTTACAGTTGAAATGGCTATATGTAACCGTAAGTTATATGCTAACAGTTTCTTTTCTCGCTCGTGGAACTCTCTTCTGGATTTTTGCTTTCTCGTCAACTTTGATCTCTAAAAATGTAAATGTAATATCAATCGTTATCTTCTGTTTTCTTAATTCTTGTTCTTTTATTGTTCTCTCTCCTTAAGAGTGTTTTTATTTCTCTCATATTCTCTAACACTCAGTAACTTCTTGTGTCTCAGTGGCTTTATTGCTTTACTTGTGCTGAAATGATTGAGAAAAATCAAATAAAAACAAGCAAACAAAAAACATAGAACTAGCACTGAATTGTAAAAACTCAGATCAAACTATAGTTTATATGTGTCAGGTTACGAAATTATTGATCGACACTCATACGAAGGTACATCAATAAGTTCAGATCTTAACTATAGAAAAACACATTTTTTTAGAAAACGAAATATTTATTTTTCAACAAAATATCTTTTTTGTCAATGCACTTAATACAATAATGAATACTGACTGCATAGAACGAAAGTTGAATATTACAACATTTCAGATCAAAATTCAAGTAATAATTTCTCAATCTGATGTGAATAAAACATTTACATATTACGTCACCAGCCATTTCGATCTGTTAAGCAAATTTTGATTCAGTGTAACCCGGATATAAGAGAGTTGTCGGGACCAGAGAAGAAGTCTCTTATATCCGGGTTTGGTCTATACGTGTGTGTGTGTGTGTGTGTGTGTGTGTGTGTGTGTGATGGAATAGTAAAATATTTTCTGATGACGAATGAGACTATTAGAGCGAGAACAGCCAACTAATTAATAGTTTCAAATCTTATCTCTCCACCGACTTCAAAGTTTCTTAGACACACCGCTCAGATAAATCTATTAAATTAACAGATGTCATGTTCAACTCTACATAAGAAATACTAATCTAGACTCTAAACAAATTTTAGATTTGAAATTATTATTGATTCCAAAGAAACATGAAATCCATTTTATACTAAAATCATGACAGAATTTAATTATCCGATGTTTCATATTTTTACAAACGTATTTCTATAGTTAAAAACACTTAGATGATGACTGTCGAATCATTACATGAGTATGACCATCACTAAGAAGATGGATCCAAGTTTTTAGTTCTTGTGAGAACGGCAAGGTCTCTTGAAGCCAACAAGTTGTTTTCAATGTTCATTACAGACGCGAGAAACGAAGTTGTTCTGTACAAGGCCTGGCTTGTTTTGTAAATTCTGTTCCGGTTACTCGAGAGTTTTCATGTTAGACAAAGATCGGTTTCTGTAGGTTTTCTCGCACGCCTCTTTTTTTCTGATCCGTTTGTATATGTGAAGGTTGACTATTAGGGTAACAACGTTTTGTTGCAACTGTCTCCCTCGATAAGGTAGTCACAAGAACCTACTCACACAACCATTTTCTTTTCCGACAACCATCATGACACTGGGAACTTATCTGTCTATCTATATACCTCTGTTTTTTTTTTTATATGTGCCCTATTGGCACTGGCGGTCGGCTCAAAACTAGTAGCACCAAAACAAAGAAACAGTCAAATATAACAACAAAATGTCCTCGCACAAGATTAAAAAAAATCGCATCAGTTGTTTTCTGGCAAAGAAAACAGAACGCTATGCGAAAATTGATTATTGAATTGGAGTGAATTCGTCGAGTGCTCAAGAATACCTCTTTCCTCTGGAAATCGTCAAACAACGATGCCTTTTACAATTCTCCTCAAATTCAGAAAGTTTACAAAGATCGTGTGTATGGGTAATTATATAAAATTGCACACAGACTTTATAAACTCTCTGTTAGGTGCGAATCTTACAAAAGATTGATGTTTTTATAATGTGAAATAAGAGTCCATGAATCATTCATAATGATTTTCTATAGGAAAGCATTATGAATAGATTTGATATAGGAAAGCAATGCTGGGTATTTTACTATGGGAAAGTATTGTGAATGATTTTATTATTGAAAAGCATTCAGATGATATTATTATGGGAAAGTATTGCAAAGGATTTTATTACAGGGAAGCACTGCGGATTATTTTAGTATAGGAATGCACTGCAAAGGATTTTACTATAGAAAACACTGCGAAGGATTTTACTATAGAAAACACTGTAAAGTATTTTACTATAGGAAAGCACTGGGAATGATTTTCGTATAAGAAAGGACTGCATATGATTTTAATATAGGAAAGCACTGCAAAGGAATTTAGTATAGGAAAGCAATACAGGGTATTTTAGTATAGGAACACACTGAGAATGATTTTATCATAGAAAAACACCGCAAATGATTTTAGTACAGGAAAGCACTACAAATTATTTTAGTATAGGAAAGCACAGCAAATAAGTTTATAGGAAAGTAGTGCGAATAATTTCAGTGTAGAAAAGCACTATAAAGGATTTTAGTATAAGAAAGTAGTGCAAAGGATTTTAGTATAAGAAAGTACTGCAAATGATTTAGGAAAGCACTGTAAAATGATTTTAGTATAGAGAGCACTACAAATGATTTCACCATAGAAAACATTGCGAATGATTTTAGTACAGGTAAGCACAGTAAAGGATTTTAGTATAGGAAAACACTGCGGATGATTTTAGTATAGGTAAACAGTGCAAAGGATTTTACAATAGGAAAACACCGCAAAGGATTTTACTGTAGGAAAACACTGCGGATGATTTTAGTTTAAGAAAGCACCGCAAAGGATTTTAATATAGGAAAGCACTACAAAGGAATTTAGTATAGGAAAGCACTCCGGATGATTTTAGTATCAGTAAACACTGCAAAGGATTTTAGTATATATAAAAAAACAAAAAAAAAACACCGCAAATGATTTTAATAAAGGAAAGCTCAACGAATGATTTTAGTATAGGAAAGAATTACTCATAATTTATTACGGGAACGAATTTCTTATAATTTTAATAAATTATTGCTATTGATTTTTTTCTCGTAATGCTTTGGTAATGATTCTACTGTAGGAAAACATTGTAAATAGTTTTATTACAGGAATGCATTGCAAACCTGGATTTGGTTATAACTGCTCCCACAACGAATACTACGACGAAAAATAAACAGTAATTGATGCCTTTAGAGAAGGGCTTTGTTGCTGATGACATGATTTTAAACTAAGAGTAGTTAATTCTGTACACGGGCATTGTAAAGTGCCTACTTTTAATGATGGCATGTCAATGATTACTTCTAGAAAATTATTTTATGATTGTCAATAATTCTACAGCTCATACAAATAATTGTCATTAATTGTCCGAGATTCATTTTGGAATAATTTTTGTCCCAATTTTTTTTTTAGTGTTTGTTGTATGAAGAAAAAAAAAGTTTTTACTTTTGGTTTGGCCTAAAAGTTGACCCTTTGTAACCACCGGTCAGGAAGTAACACATCCTGATCCACTGGTCAAATAGTCGTTCACTCACGCACAGCCATCTCGGCCGGACGCAACACACAAAATCTTTTGAGGCCAAGTCCGGTGAAGAAGAAAAACAAGAAGAAGAGCCACTACTTCTTTTGCTCTTTGTTGTGCTATTTTTTTTCATTCTTTTGCAAGGGAATGAAGAAGAAAGGGAATTAAAAAGAAAGGGAATGAAAAAACAAGATAATTAAGAAGAAAGGGAATAAAGAAGAAAGGAATAAATAAGCAAAGTAATGAAGAAGCAAGGGAATGAAAAAGAAAGGGAATAAAGAAGAAAGGGAATGAAGAAGAAAGCGAATGAAGAAGCAAGGCGATGAAGAAGAAAGGCAATGAAGAAGTAAGATAATTAAGAAAAAAGGGAATAAAGAAGAAAGGGAATGAAGAATTAAGGGAATGAAGAAAGGAATAAATAAGCAAGGTAATGAAGAAGTAAGGGAATGAAGAAGAAGGGGAATGAAGTAGCAAGGGAATGAAGAAAGAAAAAGAATTAAGAAAAAAGGGAATGAAGAAGTAAAGGAATAAAGAAGAAAGGGAATGAAGAAAGGATTAAATAAGCAAGGTAATGAAGAAAGAAAAAGAATGAAGAAGAAAGGGAATGAAGAATTAAGGGAATGAAGAGAAGAATAAATAAGCAAGGTAATGAAGAAGAAAGGGAATGAAGAAGTAAGGGAATGAAGAAAGAAAAAGAATGAAGAAGAAAGGGAATGAAGAAGTAAGGGAATAAATAAGCAAGGCAATGAAGAAGTAAGGGAATGAAGAAGTAAGGGAATGAAGAAAGAAAAAGAATGAAGAAGAAAGGGAATGAAGAAGTAAGGGAATAAATAAGCAAGGCAATGAAGAAGTAAGGGAATGAAGAAGTAAGGGAATGAAGAAAGAAAAAGAATGAAGAAGAAAGGGAATGAAGAAGAAAGGTCATTGAAAAATGAAAAGCAAAATATATCGACATGAAAATAATTAATGCGACTAAAGTCCCTATATCGCTTTAAGCGTATAGACTCATAATCACCGAAGTTAAGCATGATTAAAGTTAGTTAGTATTTAGAAGACGGTTTACCAATTGGAAAAAATCATATTTTAGTCTTGAGCCAGACTAAATAAAGCTAAGCAACTAAAGAACCGCATTAGTACTTAGATGAGGAGTGACTCCCTTCGAAAACCAGGTACTATTAGTAGTTTATACCCTTGTGCCTGATATAGGGAAAGATTAGTAAATAAGGAGACAGGGTATAGATTGAAATCACAGAAGAGAGGAAAGATAGAAGATGCTGAACGTGAAAGAAAATAATTTTATAACGATAAAACCAAAGGAAAATGAACCGTAAGTTTTATGCTAATAGTTTCTTTTTTTCGCATGTCTTGCTTGTAGAAATCTCTTCTGGTTTCATGCTTTAAGCCAATTTTAATCTTCATAAGTTTAAATGCAATGTCAATCGCTATCCACTATCCTCCTGATTACTCTTCTTCTGTACTCGCTCTTTAGTAATGTTTCTGTTTTCTAATTCTTCCACACCCAGTAATCCCTTGTGTCTTAGTGGCTTTACTGCCTTACTTAGGGTGAACTGGATTAAAAAAAAAAAATGAACAAGTCAGAAATGGAAAAAAGATGATGAACGCAGACGAGAGAAAAATAGAATTAATGAAAAAGTTAAAACATGGCAAAAAAAAAAAAAAAAAAGAAAAAATAAAGAAAAGAAATTGTTTTATGCTGATAGACGGGAAAGAAGCGAAACAAAATGGTAGAAAATGATTATATGACTTTAGTACGAATAATGGTAAAAGTAATATTAGTCATTTCCTTATAAGGAAACATTCGGTATTCATTGACTCAGCAGTCAGTACTTGAGTTAGGCTTTTCTTCATTCTATAGCATCGGGTTGTGATCAAAATGTAACATCTTTTCTCATCTCTAATGGTAATGATATATGAATGGGGAAAATCCCTAACACCATGCTTCTAACTTTAGCCTTCTTTTTGCGTAGATGCTATTTCATGGTGTATGACGTCATGTACACTTTTATCACGTGTTTTCTTTGAGTTTCTGGGGGTGTCACTAAATCGCCATTATAAAATCACTCCAGTCTGAACTATTTTCTTGTATGGTCTGTCTGTCATGAAACAATAACCCCATATTTTTAAAAATCAAGTTTACCCTAAGTAAGGCAGTAAAGCCACTAAGACACATGGGGTTACTGGTTATGGAAGAATTAGAAAACGGAAACATTACTAAAGAACGATTACAGAAGAAGAGTAATCAGGAGGGCAGTAGATAGTGATTGACATTGCATTTAAACTTTTGGAGATTAAAATTGGAGATTTCCACAAGCAAGAAGTGCGAAAAAGAAACTGTTAGCATAGAACTTATGGTTACATCTCGCCAAATTAACTGTACATCGATGAGACCTCGTCGCTAGTACTGTGCTTATATTCATAAAGTCTAGTTACCATAGCGAAGAGCTCATCGGAACAATTACCATGAAAGTATTTATAAAAAAAAAGACACATGGAGGCCACATTATGGTACAGTGTAACCCGGATATAAGAGAGTTGTCGGGACCGGAGAAGAAGTCTCTTATATCCGGGTTTCTCTTATATCTGGGTTTGGTCTATATGTATACATTAATACAGGCTCTAATTTGGGACCAGAGAAAATCTCTCTTATATCCGGGTTTCTCTTATATCAGGGTCTCTTATATCCGGGTTACACTGTAGTTGGAAAGAGACTGAAGCCGAGACTTCAGATCAGGACCAATAATATTGTTGATTGTTCTTTGTATTTTATCAAGGATCTCTGGATATATAGCAGGGACACCGGATTATATGTAGCAGCAATTTCTAAGTCTGAACGAATGGTAGACTTATAGATATGTAAGATAGATTCTGAAGAGAAAAAATGTCTAGCACGACACAGTGAACCAACTTTCTTTTTTTATTCTTGATACAGGACTCAGTATAGTTTCGGCAGCCATTCTATCCAAAGACAAATTATCAGTTTCTACCCAAAGTAAAAAGTATCCCCAAAAGTCTCCTTTCTGTTTTCTTTTGGATCTTTTTAAAACCGCAACCTCGATGATGCGTCAACGTATGGAATTTCCCTCGACATATTCTTTATCAAAGTTAAACGCCATTAATTTTTATCGTCCACCTTATTGTTCTTGACGTTACTTTGTGTATTTCCTTTATCGAATTAAAATAAATTCTAATAATCTACGGTCAGAACTCAATATAATTTTTTTTCTAATCAAAAATTGTCACGCTCTTGTAGTCGTCCACGCAATGTCTCGAGCTTCCTTTCCGTGGTTTGAATAATTAAATTCGGAATTTGTCAACTTTCTTGATAAGTACATTGCATTAAGTCCGTCTTGTGATAATAATCCAGATATTGAATGTCCAATGGAATCTGTAGTCAACGTAAAACACCATTGGTTCCATTGCAAGAGTTAAATTTAATTTATCAAAAGCTTTTTGTTGTACTTCGATCCACATAAATTCAGCATTCCTTTTTCTCCGTTTGGAAAATGGATCCGTTATGGCACATATCGTATATGAAAATTCACTCATCCTAAGAAGAAGTCAAATTCTTTTTTTTATTTGTAGGTGCCGATACTTTTTCTAAAAAGTTCTTGATCCGGTGACACTTCTTTTGAAATGGAATATCCCAGAAACGATATTTTGTCATATTTGTGTACAGACTTTTCTTCATTTCATGACTTGCATTTCTTAATTTACCGAAAAAAAAGTCAGTTCCTTTAACCCCTTTTTATTAATGGCTCCTCGGTATAAGTCATATTGATAACCTACTATACTTTTTTTTGATGTCTTTTCAAAAGACTTCTTCAATGGTCTTTTGAAACGTGACGCTTGCCGTCTTTATTCCATAAGGCATTTTTTCTACCTCAAGAGATATATCGGAAAGTATATTGTTGTTACTTCTTTAAACTTTTCATCTATTGGTATCTGGTGATATGCAGTTGTTAGGTCATTTTTGGTAAAAAACATTCATTCCTGCTAAGGAATGTAAGGCCACGCCCACATTTGGTATGGGATACGAGTTTGAGCTACATTTGATTTACTCCCAATTTCTAATCACTACGTATGCGTATATCACCCTCTATTTTTCTCCCAACTGGGGAGGCCCATTTATTACCAACTGGAGGAACAATCTCAAGAAGGTCTTGCTCTACTAATTTTCAAAAATTTGTTATTACTAACGGTAAATAAATGTACTGGTAAATTCCGTGCCTCATAACAGAAGGCGATAACATTTTTAACTGTAGGCTTGCTTCATAGATTTTTAACATGCCAGTTTCTTCCATCTTAACTGCATTAATTAATTTTGTAGAGTTAATGCTAAGTACAGTGTGTTCGAAAAATCGCATTACTACTGATAACCTTGTAAATTTCATATTTATTTACTAAATTGAATCATATTTCTGTATCTGACAATACATTATTAAAAAAAATTATACGGTCGAATTATGAAAGATGGTGTCATGCAAATTTTCCCTGGTTGCTATTTCACAAGTGTATATTATCTGCCAATTGTCGCGTGACTTTTGGAACACCCTGTACATCATTTCCAAAAAGTCTGTATTTTTTTCAACAATGATGGGTATTATTATGTTTTCCATTTTGAGAGACACTTCAAAGTATCCCAAGGTTTTTATGACTGATACATCGTAGTTCTGGTTTGCCTATATGCTCCCAGAAATTTCTTGGTATTAGCGTCATTCGCTACCTGAGGTCATTTGCATATTCAAACCTACCTTGTTTATTTAAACTTTTAGTGAAATATCATTTCTTTGTTCTTCAACAAGAAAATTCAAATATTAGTTTAAATTTGTTTTTGTTCAGTTCTTTCCACGTTTTTCTTAATTTTGCACACTGATTGAACATTTATTTATTTTTTTACAATTATTACATTTCTCTTTCTTTATTTCGTGTTTATATCCACAGAATCGACATTTTGTTACTGTTGACTTCGGCGAGTAGGTATCAGCGACTTCTAAATTCTCTGTTTTCATTTTTGTTGAATTTTTCTATTATTGTTGTTGAATAAAGTTAATGCAGGCATTCAAGGATGCATTTCTTATTTGTAATTGTTCCAGGATTCTGTAGCGTTGCATTGTGCATTCCTTCAATTACTCTCATTTGAATTAGTTATTCTTCAAATGTTTGACTTTCTCTTGCGAAATTTTCAAACTATCGAGACACATTTTAAACGGTGTAAAAAGTTTGTCACAGGTTCGTCAGCTTTCTGTATGGTGACCATGGATTTAATTACTAATTACTAATCTCTTTTTAGATCGCACAGTTTTCTGTATTATCTGACTTATTTCGTCAAAAGTCAAATCTTCCAGTTACCATTGTTGAAACTTTCATTATAGCTTCACATATAGCTATGCACCCCCCCAATTCGTAACTTCGTTCCCTCCCCACTTCTTTCTTTGCTGTTTCTTGGTTCTATCTCTTGTCACAAAACCACTAAGCCAGTACTCCACAAAGTCAAGGTCTTCAAGGGATTACTTATTTTCTGTCGGCGACGTCATTGCTATGAAGTGTGTTTTTCTTCGTATTTTATCAGTCCAGCGTATTTTATCAGTCCAGCAAAAGGATGAGCCCAAAATTCAAATTACAAATCGGAAACACCAAGATCAAACAAGTAAAAAAAAAAAGAAAGATATTTGGGAAGTGTTTTAACAGAGGACAAAAAGTGTGACACTGAAATCAGAAGGCGCATTGGGATAGCCGAAGATGCATTCCAAAAGCTAAACAAAGTATTAAGAAACAGGAAAACTTCGTTAGAAACAAAGAACTGAACTGTTATATGATATGTCCTCCAATATAACAGTGAATACTGGACAATCTCCTAAAAGATGAAGAAATTGGAAGTAACATAAATGTAGTTCTACAGAAGGATGCTGAGGATACCACGGACCGAATATCTGAGCAACGACGAAGTTCTAGAGAAAATGGAAACAAAAAGGAAATTTATACCTAAGATCAAGAAGAGACAGCTAAAATTTCTAGGGCACATAATGAGGAAAAGGCTTGGAAAATCTGATACTCACAGGACAGATTGAAGGTGAGAGAGAGGGGGGAAACAACGTATAACATATTTAATGAGCTTGACTAAATGGATGGCGGAACAGAGTTTGGGAGAAATAACAAAAAACTTTATTAAGAGCTACAATGGACAAGAAATAGTGGCGAGCCATGATCGCCTACGACTTGAGGGAACATGGCATATGTAAAAAGTAGTTGCTTATCTCGCATACCAAATACTGCTTTACACTTAGTGTTTGGGCATTTATATAGTCTCTATGCCTTAGCTATGCTAATTAGGCAGTCATTTACATATTACATATTGTAAACCAAAATAATAGTTACAGGAGAATGAAAGTGGAAGGCTATTTATTTACGCAAAATGGTTGGTAACTTTTTGCGTTTTAAGTCAGTGGTCGCCTTTATTTTAATGGCGTTGAAGACAATGTTTTTCTCTGTAAAATCAATCATGAAAAATTTGTAGTTTGCCTTCAAAGTCAAATATTATACATGTGCTTCGGTATATTATTTCCAAATTTTAACTAGACAAGGTTAGCAAAGTCCAAATTACTGTTTTTAATTTGGATTTTGCTAACCAGACGCCTCCTTTGGAGCTGAGTAGTATAGCACGACAGATCAAATGATGGTTCCGTGTAGGACACAAGTTCGATATTTGTCGGAGGACACATATTTTCTATGAAATTTCTCGGACATTCAGGCCGGTAAATGTAATTCATATTGTTTATTATAAACAGAGCATTTACTTAATTAATTGTATGTATAAAAATAACGTATAAACAGAAAATATATTAAAATAATTGTCTGACTTAGTCCATTTTATTTTATATATATATATATATATATATATATATATATATATATATATATGTATGAAAAAAATATTCATAAAACATAATTAACATAGACCATATACAATTCAACATGAAAAAGACGATGGACATAAAAGCAATACCAATCCAAACAGATAACTGAAATCTTTTATAAGATCAGCATTCCGTTTAAATATGATCACGTCGTCGTCACGTGGGCGATGTTTTATGAATATGTCCTGAAGATGGTCTATTGACCGAAACGTCCGACGTTGACATTAAACATTAAAACAGCATAATCGCATATTAGGATTTTTGTTTGTTTTTTCAGTATATTTTTCTTCATACTGTCGGATCTATATCCATATATTTGCTTACACACACACACACACACACACACACACACACACACACACACACACACACATATATATATATATATGGGATAGAATGTGCGGAGAGAGAAGAGAAACTGTTGAAAACCTTTGCCATCACCCAATACCTCACTTTGCGATATTCCCATTTAGGCCTGATTCAGAGAGCGAGAGAGAGAACGAGAGAGAGAGAGAGAGAGAGAGAGAGCGAGAGCGAGAGAGAGAGAGAGAGCCAGCCAACCAACCAACCAACCAACCAACCAACCGTTGAAAACCTTTGGCACAACCCAATTCCTCGTTTTACGATATTTCCATTTAGGCCTGATTCGCTGTAGCGGCCTTTTGCAAATGTTTTTCGTTACTACTTTAGTATGTTAAATTTACGAAATAGATAATGATAAAATATGGACCCTAGAGACACTTTCAGAAACAAATGGCTTGTGTACACGTTACTTAATTTGTCACGTGTATGAAAATAAACACACGCACACAGCAATAAATCATGTAGCCACACCAAGTGATATTTCAATTTCACCAACTCGTAAAAGTCAATGAGATACACAGAAGTAATTCATTCCATCTTAATTTTACTATTGGAATACACGGCAAAGTATTTTACTATATAAGAAAGCATTGCAAGTGATTATAGTATTAGAAAACATTGTAAATGATTTTACTCTTGGGAAGCATTGCAAGTCATTTTATTATAAAGAAGCCTTGCAAATGGTTTTACTACTGTGAATCATTGCAAATGGTTTTAGGAATATAAAGCAAATAATTTTACGATGGGAAAGTGTTACAAATGATTTTCTATAAGAGAGTACTGCAAATAATTTTATTATAGGAAACCATTGTAAATGATTTTATTATAGGAAAATATTGGAAATGATTTTATTATAGGAAAGCATTTTAAATGATTTTACTATAAGAAAACAGCGCAAGTAATTTAAGAAAGTATTGCAAATGATTTTAGTATAGGGAAGCATACGTCTTCTCTTATTATAGGAAATAATTGATGAAGACTTTTAGTATAGGAATGTATCGCAACTGACTATATTTACTATATGAAAGAAATGTGAATGTTTTTACTGTCGGAAAACAAAACAATAGCACATCTTTATTGAAAGAACATTGATGCAAACTATAAAACTATGATTAATCGTTATACAGATTCTCATATACATCCAAATTTCTTGTAACATTTGCTGCTCTGTCTACAGGATTAGACAATTCTTCACTCATTTGTTGCTTGACGATGTTTATCACCTTCATTTTTGCTTGTATTTTTTGTTAAAATAGGATATCAAGGTCGTATCTCTGTTTATGCTCTGTTGTAATGACCTCGTAAAGCGCTGGCCTTATAGTTTTTAGGAACGTATCTAGAGTGCTCACCGAAGTATTACTGTACAAAATAAAATGAATGCCTTTCTTTCTTATATTGTGTTAGAAACATTTATAGTTGAATAATAGACAGTAAGACATTCGAAGCCCCAAAACAATAACATGGAAAGCGTCCTAAAAGGGACAAAATCTGTGCCTGCCAAGCAACTGACCTTTATTCTATATACATAACATTTTCCCTAAAAAAACTATTTAATGATGATGGATGTTTTCAATAAAGACGGTTCAATCATTAAGGATGGCATTATTATTTACTCCAGACATTCATCTTCCTCTTTACCACGCTCATTACTGCTCTTTGAATATCCTCCGTTTTCTCTCTCTCGTGATTTCTTTCGTTCTCCCTTTTTTCGAAAGGGTTTGGGGTGGAAGAGATTGCTGTTTGTTAGTTTGCTTTATTGAACTACACGCTTTTTACTTTTAGAGAGAAAGGGAGTGAGGAAGGAGAGAGAAAGTGAGAAAGCAAGAGAGTGGCACATAGTTAAGAAGTGACAGATAGATAGATAGATAGATAAATAAAGAGGGAGAGAAATGGAACAGTGAGCAAAAGAAAAAAAGAAAGAAAGAAAAGAACTATAACATAGCTAGAATAACAAGAGCTAGAGCGATAGATAGATAGATAGATAGATAGATAGATAGATAGATAGATAGATAGATAGATAAAGAGAGAGAGAGAGAGAGAGAGAGAGAGAGGGGGAAAGCAAAAAAAATGAGTGATACATAAAAGGAAAACGAAATAAGTGGCGATAAATATACACGAGATAGAGAGAGTGAGAGTAAGATAGAGAAAGAGAGAGATGGAGCGAGTGAGAGTGAGTAACAGATAGAGAGATAGAGTAAGAGAGGGAGAAGTGGAACAGTGAGCAAAAGAAAGAAAGAAAGACAGAAAGAAAAGGAACTATAACATAGCAAGAATAAAAAGAGGTAGAGTGAGATAGAGATAGATCGATAGATAGCAAGGAGAAGAGCGATAGATAAAAGGAAATCGAAATCAATGGTAGGAAATATACAAGAGATAGAGTAAGATAGAGAGAGAGAGAGAGAGAGAGAGAGAGAGAGAGAGAGAGAGAGACAGATAGAAAATGGGCTACAGCTGGAGAGATAGATTAAAACCGAGAGAAATGGAACAGTGAGCGAAAGAAAGGAAACTATGAGATAGCAAGAAAAAGAGAGGTACAGTGAGAAAGAGATACGCAGATAGATATTAGAAAGAGAAAGAGAAAGAAAAAGTGATAGATAAAAGACGAAATCAGTAGTGATAATATACATGAGATAAAATAACAGCGAGAGAGAGAGAGAGAGAGAGAGAGAGAGAAACAGAGAGGGAGAGAGAGTTACAGAGTGAGCAAGTGTGGAGAGAGATGAGTGAATGCTAAAGTAAAATACAGAAAGATATATATATATATATATATATATATGTGTGTGTGTGTGTGTGTATAAAGGATAATGTATATCTGGGTAGCAATCATTCTTTTATACATGTTTCATTCAATGTGGCGGATAAGGGACATCATTAGGAAAAAGTTGCATTCAGTTTTCTACAGTTTTCGTTCATGAGAACTAAGGGAGTGTAGAAGCCGTTCGTAGTTACTATTGTCCCAGGCACTTTTGGCTAATTCAATAGCCATTTTCAAGAGGTTGGCCGAAAGTGCTTGGGACAATAATAACTATGGACACTTTCTACATTCTTTTAGTTATAAAAGAAAAACTGTAAGGACACTAAAGAAACTGAATAAAAAGCTTATAAAATGTTCCTAGTTCGTTGCATTCAATGAAAGACAAACACACGCACGCACACACACACACACACACAGATTGTCCATGCGTAGCTTGCACGTGGCACAAGGCCGAAAGTAGGGAGCACTCAGTGAGGATCGAACTCACTACTCAGTCGTAGTTGTTCTAGCGAGACCAGCTTGCTAACAATTACACCGTCTCGAGGTGCCCCCATATATATATATATATATATATATATATATATATATATATATATATATATATATATATATATATATATATATATATATATATATATATATATATATATATATATATATATATATATATATATATATAGATGTTTCATTAAAAACGACAGACGAGGTACTACGGTTAAGCTTTTTATTTAATTTTTCTTGTGTTCTGACAAGAGCTTTCTTTTCTGGACGAAGGGTGTGTAAGAACTGTCCAAATGTTTTATATTTCCGAGCGCTTTCGGCCATACCTTTATCCATTAGCAAGGATGATTGGATTTTTAGCTTAATTGAGTGTGTGCGTTCTGTGCATGTATTAGTGTGTGGTAGGGATGTTTTTAATTTCCGAATACGGTTAGCACATTGTGGCTTTGTTCGTAGTTAATATTGTTAAGAGTATATATATATATATATATATATATATATATATATATATGATATTAGCTGGCCACTTGTATCCGAGGATGCCCGTCTACTAGTCCGACTAGCCAATCCCCGTTTTAAATGCCTCGTAACCGGGCGTTTAATCGTTGCTGGCCCTGTTCAGATTGTTGATCATGCTAGATAACACTCTCTCTCTCAGAAACTGTCACTAAGGTCTGCTCAGCGTAGTTGCAGTATAAACCACAAGTGGGCTCTGTGGGTGTTGATCAAACATAAAATGTGCCTGAGCAGGTTTTTACAACAGGGACTGTCCAGTCGTCCTCGTAGACGGGCATACTTGGTTACGAGTGTCCAGCCATATATATATATATATATATATATATATATATATATATATATATATATATATATATATATATACTAGCCCAATTACCCGCACCTTGTTGCGTGTCACACATTTTTGTAAGAAAATATTTTTGTAAGAAAATCATTGTTATAATTTGTGGAGAAAACTGATGCATTTCAATATTACCCAATGATCTTGCTGACGTGACCTCCATCTTCTGGCTTTCTCCTTCTATATTTTGGATAGGAGTCTGTCCCTTGTTTAAATTTAAATTTAATTCAAATCAAAGAGAAAAAACATTTTCAATGGGGGTTTGTGCCCACCCCGACCCCATTGATTAAAATGATCTTGCCGATGGGATCTTCCTTTGATCAAAATGAAGTATACTTTGCCAAGTACCCTGAAAATTGAAAGAGAGGTAATGAGAGTGATAAAGAGGAAGATGTAACTAAAAGCAACAACAACAACAATAAAAGAAGTAGTCAAAACTAATATATATAAGAATGAAAATACTATATTTCAGGCTCTCAAAGCAAGCTTTGAGCTCATGCCTTTTCAAAGATACTAACATTCAGAACTGTGTACAACAGGAAAATCTTGAAAGAAACAAAGAAAAGAGTACTTAACTGTTATGTAATATCAGTACTTCTATATAGTAGTGAATGTTGGACACTCACCGTACAGATGAAGAAGAAAACTTGAAGCAACAGAAATGTGGTTCTACAGAAGGCAGCTGAGAATATCATGGACTGAACATTTGAGCAATGATGAAGTTTTAGAGAGAGTGAAAGCAAAAAGGACACTGATACTTACCATGATAAAGAAACAGTCAAAATTTCTAGCACACATAATGAAGAAAGAGGTCTTAGAAAATTTGACAATGACAGGACATATTAAAGGAAAGAGAGACAGAGGAAAAGCAGTGAATAACTTACCTAAAGAGATTTTGTAAATGTTTAGCATTAACAGGGATTAGGAGAAATTGCGAAAAGAGTTATTGAGAACTTCAAAAGACAGGAAATTGAGGAGAGCTATGATTACCCGCGTCCTGAAGGGACACGGTACATAGAAGTTTATTGCTGACCTGTACACAGAAATCAGTTTGCCCGAATTCTGCGTATTTATGTGACAAATTTACAAAAACCATAAGAATTTTACGTTATGTTTAGTTTTTAGAACAGGATGTTGACCGCATTGGTATGTTGGGACGACGCCATTTGGGGAAAGATTGCAAACATTTCGTTCAAGTTAGGTGAGGTTGATTTTACATGTCAACACTTATCATTAAACGTCGATTCTTGCACAGGGGCACCCAGTGAGGATCGGACTCATTAGTAGTGGTTTACTCCACGACGTGGTGTTATTTCGTTTAAATTACTGAAGTAAAATGTGATTTTTTTAAAGAAGTTATTGGAATTAACTTTATTGAACAACATATTTAGCATTTTTTTCTATTGTTATTATTATTATTATTGTTATTATTATTATTATTGTTAGTTAATATTATTATTTTATAATTCTGCTTGTTCCTTCGTTCCTTTGTTTGCACGTACGTTACGCCCTGCCAATTCCTCATAAATAATGGACTATTCTCTTTTAATCGAGAAGAAAGACGATAAAGACTGGGAGAACGGAAGAAAGAAATAAAGAAAGAAAAAGTGGATAGAGGAGGCGATAACCCTTTTATGTGTTTAATGTCTGCTTCAGTGAAATGAAAAAATCTTCAGTTTCAAATCTTTTCATTTGTACCCTCTTACTTTTTAAAATAATGACTTGCATTCATAATTGTGATTGTTATTGAAATATTTGGGTAAAGTTGTCAAGCTCAAATATTTAACGACGCAACAGTGGAATTTCCATGGGTATTTTAAAGTCTTGGAACTAGCAAGAAGCTTTTGCTATTAACTTAATATTGAGATTCTTCAGTAAATTCAAATAGCAAAACATTGAAGTTTTCACGAGTATCCCTACTACTACTACTACTACTATTAATTATTATTATTATTATTATCGCCATTCTTTCGATAATTTTATAATTCCATTTTCCTACAACATTAAAAAAAATCTTTCTGAGCAAACAACTCCTGGAGTTTTTTCTAATCTTCTAGAGAATTTTAGTTTTTAATTAAATGAATTCTGTAAAGATCAGAATAAATAGTAAATCGAATCTGTAATATTTCCTCTATACGGCATAACGACAAGAGTTTTACCGCTTTCGGTGAAGCCAGTTTTCGAGCAAATACATTCGCTATTATGATTTATTGCCATTGTTTTATCAATACTAATGCGTTAATCTGTTCAGAAAGGGACAGAAATAGTTATAATTTAATCCCCTCTGTCCCATAATAGTTGTTACATTTGTACACACATTTCATAGACCAAATGTAACAACCATTATGGGACGGAAGTCCTAGAATTTAATCACCTTTGTCACTAAATAGTTGTTACAAGGATAAAAAAGGTTTTTGTGGTCAGGAATTTATGCTAGCATTACTGACAGAACAGAATGATATATCTATAATAAAGCTGACAGACAAAAAAAGTTTGAAAGTTTAAGGAATCTCCCAAATTCTAAGTAGAGATCCATGATAATTTAAAACAATAAAATATTGATAAATAAAAGTTAAATGTATCTTTGCTGTTAAAATAAAATAGAAACTTGAAAAATAGCTGCATTGAATCAATGTGGATTGACCGATCAGTACTCAAGGTTTTCTTCTTTGAACAATCGCTGTGTTCAAATTAAGTATAAAAACTATGATTTTGAATGCTGATTTTCGAGGTGGGTATGCAATTGCTTCTCTTGGGGAAGATTAGCACAGTTCAGTCTTCACATCTTTCATTCGCCCCATTCACCTCCTATCGTACGATTATAAGCGTTATCAATCAATCTACTTGTAATATTTCGAAATGTTGTTCTCATCTTGGTTGATATAGATCTTATTATAGACACAACGTTTCGATCAAGTACCCTGTGGTCATCATCAGGTGTCCATTGGTTGGCTGATATGAGATGCCTGTTGATTGTGATATATTTGTATTTCAAACTATTGTTCTCATCTTGGTTGATATAGATACTATTATAGACGCAACGTTTCGGTTAACTACCCCGTGGTCATCACCAGGTGTTCATTGGTTGGCTGATATTGGGTATCTGTTTATTATTGCCTTATTTTGTCACTGTGAAATCAGTTATTATTCCTAATGAATTGGGCACTACCAGATCCAGAGATTGAACTCATGATCATCACTAACGTCCGTCGGGACGTTGGTGAGTTGATAAAGGAGTTGGTTATGCATGTTAGTGTCAGTGGTCAGGAGTTCAATCGTTGGATCAGATAGTGAGTTAGTCAGTCTCATAGAATATGGTTTTAGTAAAATTCTAAAATATCATTTTAATAACTTTTGAACACTTTGGAGGAAAGGGAATTTCTAGGCTACTGCTGATTAATGCTAAAAGCTGTTCGCTATGGTAGTCGGTAATGCTTAACTCTCGTATATAACGCGGTAAATATATATATATATATATATATATATATAGATCATCCACAGACAGACTGTTTCGCTGTATCACAGCTCATCAGTGTGGCTAAACATTTGATGTTGGGACCGCTTCAAGCCATCGACAGAGAGAAAGGCGAATTTTTGCGTGTTGATTTTTTCATGAACACGCCAGTCACTCAGAGAACTCAATCGTTAGGAGAGTCTTGCATTATCAGCAGTAATAGTGACTGTTTACAAATTCATTCCTTAGTCCACGCAATGCTCGGCCCATTAAATTATTTTATCGAGAGCTATCGTCATC